AAAAAAAAAAAAAAACAAGGTCATTGGGCACCACAGCCATGCCAGGGTAGCCGTGCCAGATTTGTCGTATCCTGGACCCTAACGAATGGGCTCTAGAGGGAAGGGCAGGAACCCGAAACTGGCCACCCACAGGGTGAAGGAAAGCAGGGCCCTCAGGGCTGAGGGCTGTGGGGACAGAGGAGGGGAGGGGAGGCGCACAGGCTGAAGGGATTAGAACAAGATTGTGGTTCTCAGGAAGGCCCTCACCCTCACCCACCTCATTTTCCTCACCTGTGAAATGGGACTTCCTCATGAGATCCATGCCTCTTAAATTCTGAACCTTAAGAATATACTTAGTTCAAAAAGCAACACAATGAAATTTTAAAATAAAGATTTCTCCTAGGAGAAGCCATTCCTAATATAGTATGCAAAAAATACAAACTCAGGGCCGGGGATTTAGCTCAGTGGTTTTGCCGCCTGCCTTGCAAGCACAAGGACCTGAGTTCAATCCCTGGTACCAAAACAAAAACAAACAAACAAACTCTTGCCAGGCACCATGGTACTGGTTTGTAATCCCAGCTACTCAGGAGGCCGAGGCAGGAGGCTTGCTAAGTTCAAGCCCAGCCTGGGCACCTTAACAGCATGGTGACACCTTGTCTCAAAACAAAAAATTTTACAGAGGCTGGGGATGTAGCTAAAAGTGAAGGCCCGGGTCCAACCCACAGTACCACTAAATAAATGAATAGCTACTGGGGTTTGGATTTGTTGTCAGTTGGGCACTGAGACCCTGTTTTATCAGTTCCCCATTTCATACCGGAAGGCTTGAAGTCGCCTGCCTCCCCTGCCCCTCCGCCAGGCGTGCTGGAATGCCCTTGGGTCCTCAGCAGCACTGTGTGCCTTAGGTGCTCATCGACGTGCCATCCTCAGACCTGGCCCGGGAGCTGTGCCAGAGCTGTGCCGCCGTCCAGGGGCTCCAGAACACGCTGCAGCGGATGCTCGACCAGCGGGAGGAGGCGCGGCAGTCCAGGCAGCTCCTGGAGCTCTACCTGCGGGCTCTGGACAAGGAGGGCGGCGTTCTGTTGAGGCGGGAAGGTAGGGCAGCCTGGGATTGCTTGGAGGGGGAGGCACTCACTGGGCAGTGTGGTCTCAGAGCTCGCTGACCTCTCTCACACCCACTCTGCAGAATCCGAGGCTGCCCTTGGGGAAGAGGTGGATGTGGTGGACACAGGCACCGACAGAGAGAGCGCCTCCAGCATCACACTTAAGAGCCAGGTCCTCTCAGCACTGCAGAAGCCCGCTCCTGAGCTGAGCTTGTCTAGTCGGGATCTGGAGGTGGGCGAGCACCAGGGACACTGAGCTGCAGAGTGCCCTGCCTGGGCGATGTAGTGGGACCGGGCAGAGGCTGGCATGGGCTTCCTGAGCTGCCCGTTTGCCTGCTGTATACCAGAGCAACTGCTTACCTTAAACCAAAGTGGCTTAAAGGGAACACAGGCGCACTCCGCCGATCATTTTTTCTGGTCCAAGGTTGGTAATGACAGACAGGGAGGAACGGCAGGGCTCAAGCTTCCACTTGGCTTCCAGTTGTGAGGGGCCGAAGAGCCTGCAGGCAGGTGGGGTGGGGCACACCACCTGTCACCCCAGGACTGGCATACATAGTGGGTTCGAGGCCAGCCCTGACCAAGTCATGAGACCCTGTTTCAAACAAAGCTGAGGCCTTAGAGCTGCACGGGAGAAGGCGACCTGAGGGGACCCTCCCACCTGGCACACAGACGAGGCCGCAGGAAGCTTTGGCAAAGGGAGCCCATGAGGGAGGTGCTGCTGCTTGTCCGTTGCCCTTGTGACCTTCCCAGATGCCTCCCCATTTAGTTCCTTTGGGGAAGGAAATTGTGTTCCTTGAGCTTGGCTAAACTTCCTGTCGTTGAGTGATGAGAAGAGGCAGCCGATGGTGTCCCAGGAAGGAAGCCTGGCGAGTCAGAGCAGAGGCGTCCCCTCCTGTCGCCTGTTCTCGCTCAGAACTGAGGCTCAGTCAAGGGCAGAAGCAGCACTTCTCAGGGGCTCTTGTTCTTGCCACAGTTGGTCACCAAGGAGGACCCCCAAGCCCTGGCCGCTGCTCTGAACTGGGACATAAGGAAGACGGAAGCGGCTCAGCAGGCCTGCGCCCAGGAGCTGGCCGGGCGCCTGCAGCAGACCCAGAGCTTGCGTTCGCTCAGGACTCTGTCAGCCAGGAGGAACTCCCTGCCCAGAGGAGCTAAACGAGCCAAGCGGGACCCCACCTAGCGGCGGCCAGAAGACACAGGGAGGGAGACCCATGGCCAGCCCAGTTTCTGCTGCCTGGAAACACCCTCAGCCCGTTACACCTTCCTCCCTGCAGGCTGCTCTGCCCCTGCCTCCAGCTTGTTCCTTTGGCGCCAGCTGGAAGCCTGGCTTATACCCACTCCAGAAAGGCTACTCCAGAGCTCTGCACACCCCCATCCTCCTGTGTTTGATTTGTTGTTGTTTTGTTTTGTTTTTTGAGCTGGGGTCTTGTTGTATAGTCCAGGGTAGGCTGGAACTCACAGCGATCCTCCTGCCTCAATTACAGGCATGTGCCATCACACCTCACTTTGTCTGCTTACTTTGAATGATGTAAGTGCACCAACTCTATGGACAGTTCTTTTTGGTTGTTTTTTTGAGACAAGGCCTCACCATGTAGTCCCAGGCGGGCCTCGAACCTGCAGCAGTCTTCCTGCCTCAGCCTCCTGAGTGCTGGGACTACAGGTGTGTACCACGACACCTGGCTCCATGTACCGTTCTTATGTTCTTTTTTAAAAAGTTCCTGTTGGAGCCAGACATGGTGGTGCATTCCTGTGATCTCAGCACTCGGGAGGCTGAGGCAGGAAGATTGCAAGCCCACCCTGGGAAATTTAGCAAGTCCCTCTCAAAATTTTAAAAAATATATCAGCTGGGTGTGGTGGAGTTCAAGGCCAGCATGGGTGACCTAAGTTCAAGACCAGCTTTAGCTACATAGCAAAACCCTATCTCAAGTAACTAAAGGAGGGCTGTGGATGAAGCTCAGTGCAAAGGCCCTGTGTCCATTCCACAGTCTGCCCCCAAAACAGTACTTGTCAGGGCTGGCAGTGTAGCTTAGCGGTAGGGGACAGGCTTAGTGTACAATGAGGCCCCGGGTTCAATCCTCAGCACCCAAAAGGAAAAAAAAGTAGGTACACAAAAGAACTGGTCCAGGGCAATGAAAGGAAACTCATGTCTGGAATCTTCATACCCTTGTTCTGCAGCCAGCACTGCAGTATCTTCGCCACAATGGTGTAGAGAAGGTGGCTGATGGATCATGATGATAGCCACAGGCTTGTTCCTCCAGTTAATGAATATTTTTGTTTGTTTGCTTAAAGGCACATATTAAGTCTGCAGGCCACAGGGACTTGCAGTCTAATTCACCATTTCTAATATCTGACTCAGTGTTAAGAAATTGCATCTGTTGCCTCTGTGATACTCTTCAATTTTCTAATATGTTTCATCAGCAGGGGGTAGGAGCAGCCATAAAGCCGTTTCTGTGTGGCTATTGGTAAGTCTGGCTGGATGCCTACAGAGCACTTCCGGCTTACACACCCCGTTCCTTTGCACACCTGCTCTGCAGGTTTTGTAATCTGCCATCCACTGTCCTTGGAGGAAAAGGGTGGTTGTTATCATTGACTTATTTGACTTTTTTTTTTCTTTCAACGTGTTCTTAGCGCACAGCAGAATGCTATAGAGAGCTATATTGGCCAGTTCTGTGCTTCTCTTGTTTTTCGAGACTAGGTAGTTCAGGCTGGCCTTTAACACCAGGCAATCCTCCTGCCTCAGCCTCCAGTGTGCTAGGATCACAGGTGTGCACCACTATGCCCTGCTTATGTCGTTTCTTGGTGCTGGGGATGAAACCCTTGCCCCACACATGTGAAGCAGGGGCTTTACCACCAATCTGGACCTCAACCACCCCTTGGCCAGTTTTTTTGTTTGTTTTTTAGTTTCCCCAGTACGGAGGATCGAACTCAAGACCTTGCACTTGCCAGGCAGATGCGATGCCACTGAACTACATCCCCAGCCCCACTGGCCAGTTCTTAAGCCAAGAAATGTTAACGGTCCTGGGAGGGAGGGGTTGTGCAGAAGACAGTTGGGCAGAACAATAAAGGCAGATCTTAAAGGCAGGCTCAGTTCTACTGGGCTTCCTTACACCGGTGGATCACATCAGCCCCTGCGTTCAGCTTTTTACAGCTTTCTTGTAAGGCTTCCATCAGCCTTAAATAAAAGCCAGAGATCGTATTTGAAAAGCCCCAATTCAGCACCCCGAGTTTAACACTTCAGCAGATGCGACAGGAAGATCGTTTCCAGTAGGTGGTGCCGAGTGAGGGTCTGGACAGCCGAGGTGCTCCGAAGCTGTCAGAAGCTCGTGGAAATCACATTGTGGCACTGGCAGGGTGTGTCATTGTCACTCAGGTACCGTGCCGCACTGCCACTGGTAACAATTCCCTCCAGTGAGCTGAACAAAAGTGCATCTATCCTTGGTTACAGCACCACACACACCTAGAAAACCCAGGGTAACCAGGGATTTAGCTCAGTGGCACCACGCCTGCCTCACAAGCACAAGGTCCTGAGTTTGATCCCCAGTACTGAAAAGAAAATAAACCCAGGGTACATTAAAGCTGGAGAAAAAGCCAGGTGTGGCGGTGCATGCCTGTAATCCTAGTGCTTGGGGGGCTGAGGCAGGAGGATGGCCATGAGTTTGAGGCCAATCAGAGCTACTCAGGGAGACCCTGTCAAAAAAATACTAAAGAAAAACATCCTTGTTTTTCTGCATAAAGCAGGAGTAGGCTCCATGCCAAAGTGATTTTGAACATGTTTGCATCCATGTGACAGCCAGCAGGATGACCGGAAGGCACACAGGAGGCTGAGGCAGGAAGATGAGCCCAGAAAAGTAAGGCCGACTGAGGACTTTTGCTAGCACACACCACATGGGAGCCTCAAGGAGACGTGTAGCTGGGCTCATCTCGCCTTCTGCCCACAGCGCAGTGGGGCTCCGCAGGGTCCTCTGATTTCCTCACACCACAGAGGGTGCATAGCGAGTTCAAAGCCAGCCTGAGCTGCATGGAGAGACCCTATCTCAAAAAAACAAAAACATGGGGTACCTGAGTTCAAGGTCAGCCTTGGCTACACGGGGAGACCCTCTCTGGAAAGTGAGGCGGCGGGTGTAGTTCAGTGGTTCCGCACTTGCCTAGCAGCTGAGGTCCTGAGCTTGTATCCCCAGCACCACCCGTATTCAGAAGTAAAGGAGGCGCTGCACGAGGACATCGTCAGTCTCACTCGGGGTGTGGGGTCCCCCTTTCCTTCCCTCGGGGGCAGGGCAGCGACTCTGAGCCTGCAAGCTGCAGCCCTGAGGGGTAGGGGGAGCGATCTGAACTCAGGCTGGCCCTGGGCACAGTCACCTTCCCAGCCACACTCAGGAGCCTTCTAGGATGGAACCGCAGCAGGCAGTGTGTCTAAAAATAGCCTTGAGCAAGGGAGCGGGCATGGTGTTATCCCCCTAGTAGAAAAGAATGTCAAAGAAAGCAGCTGGGACTAATGAACTCCCCATTAGCTGAGTTCCATTCTTTCAAGCAGTCAGATGTCGGTCCCCATTAGGCAGTTGGCTTTGATGGGAGCTGTGCTAATTACCACTTACCAGCCCTTAATTCCTGGGTAAAAGCAAGAAGAAAAAACTAATGGATTTTTCATTTTCCACAGAGAAAGGAATAAAATAATAGTATGTTTTTTAAAAAGTGTTAATTACAGGAATTATTAATGTGCCTTTACTCACCAGATTGTCTGGCTGCTTAATTTCCTAATTAGCTATTCAATTTTTCCCCTTCAGTTCATATCCATTTTATTTTGGCTGGATTTGTGCTACTTTAGGGTTTGGTATTGTTTATTTGAGACAGTGTCTTGCTATGTAACCCAGGACGGCCTGGAACATGCTGTGAACCTCCTGCCTCAGCCTCTGGAGTGTTGAGATCACAGGCGTGCACCTCCAGTTGACTTAAGGTTTTTCAGAACTTTGGCACCAGGGATCGAACTCGAGCCCTTGCACGGAACCACTGAGCCAAATCCATGGCCTCAGAACTTTGGAAGTGATGCAGTCTGAATACCCCGCTACCCCCGCACTGCTCGAACTCCACCCACGGCTTGCTAGTGAGTGTTTCCACCTGTGTGGAAACCTGCAGCGTCCCAGCGCGGTGGTGCACACCTGTAATCCCACCACTCGGGAGGCCGAGGCAGGAGGATCACCATGAGAGGAAAGTCAGCCTGGGCTTATTAGTAAGACCTTGTCTCAAAAAAACCAAAACACCTGCAGTGAAAGCAAGGGGCTCCCCCACACTCCAGGCTTCACGTTCAGACTGAGGAGCCTTACAGTCCATGGTTTGCTCAGATGCTGCTGGTAGGACTCCAGCAGGTCACTACACGCGCAATGGGTCTCCTCCCAAAAAAGTCAAGCTTTTCATCAGAGCATAATTATTTTAATACGACAAACTTTTTGTTTGTGGTACTGGGAATAGAACCCAAGGCCTTTGTACTAAGCTACATCTCCAGCCCTTTTTTGATGTTGTTTGGGGGGGTTTATTGGTTTTGGTTTTTTGAGACAAGGTCCCACCATGCAGCCCAGGCTGTCTTCAAACTCACAGCAATCCTCCTGCTTCAGCCTCCTGAGTGCTGGGATTACAGACCAGCTCCACCTTAATTTAAGACAGGACCTCGAGAAGTTTCTAAATTGTCCAGGCTGGGCTTGCAGACCTCTGCCTCAGCCTGCCACACAGCTGGGGTAACAGGCATACCCAGCTGAATGATGGGTTTTACTACCAGGATAAGGAGTTGGGAACAGTGGGTTGTTCAGCTGGCCTTTGCCGCTTTCTCTTCTAGGCAAGTCCAGCTGAAAAAACTTCACAATATTTAGATGGTTTTTCCTTTCCAGATTTGTTTTAAAAATTGAATCCCTGGCTGGGAGTAGCACATGCCTGTAATCCCAGCACTCTGGAGGCTGAGGCAGGAGGATCACCACAAGTTTGAGGGAAGCCTGGGTTACACAGTCAGTTCAAGGCCAGGCTAAAAAAAAAAAAAAAAACACTAAATTACCTGAACTAAGGTACTCTGCACCTGATGGATTTCCAGACAGTACATTAGTAGAGTCTCATTATTCCCAGGTACTACTTAGTTAAAACATAAAATCTACAGTTTTGGGCCAGGGATTTAGCTGTGGTTCCGGTGCCTGCCTCACAAGCACATAGGGCCTGAGTTCAATCCCTAGTACCAAAAACAAAAAAACAAAATCTACACTTTTAAGGACTATATATGAAGGACCCCAATCAAAACTGAAACACAAGCTTTTCTTCTACAAAAAAGAAATTGTTCTTGTTGGTGGTGGTGTTTTTGAAGGCAGGTTCTTGTTATGTAGTCCAGGCTGGCCTTGAGCTCATGGGGATCCTCCTGCCTCAGCCTCCAGAGTGCTGGGATTACAGACAGGCAGGAAAACCTTAAATAACAAACTTTTGGAGATAGGCTGGCCTTGTAGGCCAGCATCTGCCACCAGTGCACTGACCCAGTTAGAGCTTCCTGAAGCTGCTGTGTTGGAAATGTGGCTGCTATTAAGCCTCTTCCATCACAGGAGACTTTATCAAGCTAGTAATTAGGGATATGCGCTAGGCTCTGCGAAAACAGAGCGGAAGGCTCAGCAGTTGCACTCAGTCTGCTCCCCTGGCGTGGAGAGAAAAGGGTAATATTCCAGGGCCCTCTGCCAACCAGGGCTTGTTGTCTGAATATTAGGCCTCACCCTCAGACACTTGGCCTAGCTCTGGGTGTGATCTCTAAACCTTTCTTATTTTGAGAGAGGACCCTGCTATGTAGCCCAGGGTGGCCTCTAACTGTAGTCCTCCTGCCTCAGCCTCCCAAGTGCTGGGTTACAGGTATGTGCCACCATATCCAGCTTCTAAACTTGAAGATTTAGCATCCAGCCCCGCAGTCTAGGGTGTGAACCCAATCTCTGTCCCCCAGCACAGGACTCTGTCGCAGTGGTCCCATCCCACTGCCACAGCCCCTCTTGAGTAGGCTGCCTTACAGCCTTTAAAATAAAGCTTAGCATCTAAAAGCTCCACGCTGGATGTTGTTTTCCTTTAGTGTCTGTGACTCAAGTCCGAAACAATCTGTGTAATCAAGCACAGATTTCAGTGCTATGTGGGAGAAGTAAAACATGATAAGTGTTTGAAATCCTGCAATTTGTTTACCCCTAACTTCCAGCAGACCAAAGCCCCGCTCTGTGAGTGCCTCCAGGACAGCTCTGTCTCACACCACAGGAAATGGAATTCTCACTGCCAGGTGCAGTGGGGCACACAGAGAATCCAGCCCTCAGGATTCTGAGGCAGGAGGATCTTGAGTTTGAAGCTAGCCTGGGTGGCTTAGCAAGTCCTCCAAAAAGGAAAATGAAATTCTCCCTCATTTAAACTTTCTTTTTGTCTTTTTGTGGTGGGGTGCTAGGGATCAAACCCAGGGTCTTAAACTATATCCCCAGCTCCTTTTTATTTTGGGACAGAGTCTTGCTAAACTGCCCAGACTGGACTCAAATTTGAGACCCTCCTGCCTCAGCCCTCAGCCTCTCAGGGTGTCAGTTTACTTTATTATTATTATTATTTGAGACAGGGTCTTGTTAGTCGTTTAGGCTGGCCTAGAAACTGTACAGCCCAGGCTGGCCTCAAACATGCAGCGATCCTCATGCTTCAGCCTTCTGAGCGCTGACATTACACATGTGCACCACCACGCCTGGCATTTTTTTTTTTTTTTTGGTAATGGGGATTGAACTCGAACCTTGCACTTGCAAGGCAGGCAACCAAACCACTAAGCTAAATCCCCAGCCTTTTTAAATTTTATTTTTTATTTTGAGAAATGGAGTTGATGATGTAAGTCATTAAATTGCATGGGCTGGGCTCAAATATGGGACCCTCCTGCCTCAGCCTCCCAGAGTGCTAGGATATGCAGCTGCTTTATCTCACCATTTATCTACAGAATGAAGACGCTAGTGTGACAGCTGCACACAAAACGCACACCCATCTGTTGCTCACCAAGTCCCAGGGTGACACCTTGGAGGTTCTTATTTCAGAAGTTGGTTCAAGCCAAGCGTGGTGGCTTGTGGTCCCAGCACTTGAGAGGAGGCAGGAGGATCACAAGTTCAAGGCCAGGCTGAATGACAAATGTCCCACCTTGTCTCAAACCAACAACAACAGAAAAACAGTTGATGCAAGCAGGCTACAGGCTGGGCAGCAGTGTTGTCTCTGGTTTGAAATCATACTTTTAAAAGTAGACATGGAAGCAAAACAGAAGCTCTAATCTGCAAAAAGAATTGGAACAAATATCACTAATTAAAACTGGAACATAATAGCAAGTTTGAATGTAACTTTTACAAGCATGTCAGCATGATGTCTCTTTAATAGCATAACGATTATTTTAAAATTAATTTTAGCTAAAACATAAGGAATAATTACTTCACTCTTGGAGCACAATGAAAATAATGTGCTTGTAAAGTTTGCAGTGCTGGGAGTCAAACCCAGGGCTTTGTGCCTGCTGGGCCGGGCTCTGCCACTGGGCCGCCCACCCCAGAAGAACCCAGGGCCTTTATACTGGGCTTCATCCCCATCACTTTTCACATTTTTTCAAGACAAGGCCTCACTTTGTAGTTCAGGCTGATCTTAAACCATGTGGCCCAGGCTGGCCTGGAATTTGCAGCAATTCTGCCCCAGCCTCCCCATGCTGGGATTACAGGTGCAGAGCACCACACCCAGCCCACTTTTTAATTTTTTTTTTTTTCGGGGGACAGGGTCTCACTATGTAGTTGAGACTGACCTGGAACTCACTACGCAGCCCAGGCTGGTCTCGAACTCACAGTGATCCTCCTGCCTCAGCCTCCCCGAGTGCTGGGATTACAGGCATGCGCCACCACGCCCGGCTTATTTTTAAATTTTGAGACAAAGTTTTGCTACCTTGCCAGGATTGGCCTTGAATATGTGACCCTCCTGTCTCAGCTTCCTGAATAGTTAGGCAAGTGTCACCACACCTAAGGAAGAACCACCAAAATCCTCATTAAGTGTTCTCATTAGGTTCCCAATTACTGTTCTGAATACTGCTGGCATTGGACATTATTGAAATTTAAATAAAAATACTTCACAAGTGACACGCAAAGAGAAGAAACTGCCTCAAGAAGAAAGTGCTGCTGAATTCATTTTATTCGGGTCCACACTACAGTCCCCACCATGCAGTCAGTGGTGGGGAAGTCTATTTGCAGGAGGAGAAGGTCTTCCAGAAGAAGTTTTTACAGCGTGTTTTATCTCGGCGAGGGGGCTGCTGAAGGGGTGCGCCTTCCTGTCGCTTGGCCACCTCTCTGGTGTGCCCCCCACTGCGGTCCCCAGTGCTGAACTGGGAGGTCCACTTGTGCCACCGTGCAAGGAAAGTCAGGAGGCTGTCTGTCTTTATTTCTGCCACCTCCTGCATATGCTTTTACAGAGAAGCAGATGACAAAGGAAAACAAATCAACAGCCTGGCTCGCCAACATTAAAAGAGTTGCAGTGTCTGACTTAAAAAAGAAAGAAAGGGAGGGGGACGGAGAAGGAGGTATGGAGGGAGGGAGGGAAAGGAAAAGAGAAATGGTTTCTCAGCAGTGAATTACATTTCCATTCAAAGGATGAGAAAAGAGGAAGCCTTTTAAAGAGGTTGCTCTAGTTAGAGAAAAGAAAAAGTTCATCATTTCAGTCCAGGAAAAAACCCAGCTTGTTCTGCCCCATGGGTCTTTGCTGTGGTCCTTAATTACAAGGGATCAGGACACCTGTGAGTCCCCTCTTGGCCACTCCTGGGCCACCCCCCCACACACGCTGCTCTCCCAGATAGATCAGGCTGAGCTGCTAAATTCCAGGCTTTCACATTCCTAGGGAAGCTTCTGATGAGAAACGGCCTGTCTGAAACTCATCTGGTATTTCAGAAAAAATTTCATTTTTAATGGCCAATTTTATGTACTTTTCTTGGAACGTTTTCAAAAGAGGAAAAGAAAGAAAGAAAAAAAAATCACCTCCCAAAATTACAAATTCTCTGCACAGAAATGCCAGAACATGGCTGGGTGTATAAATTCAGGCCCTGGAAGTCCTTGTGACTGATCTGGGCAGGGGCCACTCTGCAGCAGCCTGGAGAAATCACCGAGCCTGGAGACACAGCCGGAGCAGAGAGAGGCCCCAGGGAACTGCAAGGAAAGGAGTCGAGGACCTGGGCTCCACTGGTGACCTCACAGTCGGGGTTCAGCCCTGCGCTCTGTCCCAGAGCGATCCGCAGCACATGGATGTGTGCGGGGTACACACGCGTGCACACAAACACACACACCTGGCTACGCAGATGCTGGGAATCCAAGGATGACACATGCCGAGGTCAGAGACAGCGGAGAGCAGGTGGCTGGGAGGGGACCGTACTCACCACGCTGTCCTGGCTGACAGGGCCACCTTCCAGGGCCAGGGCGGTGGCTGTGGCCCCCCAGAGAAGCAGCAGCAGCAGCAGTGGGGTCCCTCGGGCCCACAGCCCCTTCCCTCGGGCTTGGGCACCGTCCATCATCAGCAGCCCTGGCATCCAGGCTCCGAGGCCGGGTCTGGTCAGCTCTGGCACGGGCTGTGGCGTCTCCACGTCAGCGATCCTGGAGCCCTCTCCTCACACTTCAGCGATGACGCAGGAGCCCGAGCGAGCGAGGGGCGAACACAAAAGCACTCCGGGGCTGGATTGTGCCCCTTGATGCAAGCTTCAGGTCCTTTCCTGCATTTAGAGCGAATTCGCTCTTATTTTGGAATGAATGCATTTGCGTTTGCTTTGAAGGAAGTTTGACTTCCTTGTAATTATCCCTACAACAAGCAGGAAGCCATGAGAACAAAACCAAGTGATTTAACAGAATATGAAATTAGCCTTGGGGAAGGAGCTGAAGATGTGAGATTTCGCCCATATGTAACTTGCCCATAGCACTGAGGGGCTGCGGCGGAGCTGAGTGGAGAGAGCGCGTGCTCAACATACCCGAGGCCCGCGCTGGCCCAGAACGTAACAGAATATGAAATTAGCCTTGGGGAAGGAGCTGAAGATGTGAGATTTCGCCCATATGTAATTTGCCCATAGCACTGAGGGGCTGCGGCGGAGCTGAGTGGAGAGAGCGCGTGCTCAGCATACCCGAGGCCCGCGCTGGCCCAGAACGGGCCTGACACTTACAGAGCCACCTCGGTCCATATAATCCCTCCTTGGCTCTTCTCAGCTTTATCCCCGTTTCCTGATTAGCAGACTGAGGCTCGGCAAGGTTAACACTGGGCCTGCCAGGAACCAAGTCGGCTCAGAGGGACGCAGTGACAGCGCCCTCATCTCTGTGCAACACCACATCCAAGTGCCTGTTATCCGGGTCCCTGCCAGGGTCGCCACATCCGTCCCACAGCTGCAGGAGTCTGTAAGACGTCCCGTGCACTGCACAGACAGCCCCATCAGGAGGTATTTTAAACACTGATTCAGTCACATGGCTCCTAGAGCTGCTGAAGCAAGATGCAAACCTAGATCCTTCAGCTCTGGGAAGCCCACAGCGCCCATCCCTCTCTCACCCCTGCCCACAAGTTCAAAGAGTGGTACCAGAGTGAAATTGCTGTGTACTACCTCCAGCTGAATGTACGAGGATGGAAGGCTTTAAAATTTTTCGTATTTAGTGGTACTGGGGATTAAACTAGAGCCTTTGCCCAAGCACAGCTTGAACTTTAGATCCTCCTGCCTCAGCCTTCGGAAGTGCTGGGATGACAGGTATGGGCCACCACACCTGGCTAGTAGAATGCTTTATGATTCATTTCCCCTCCCTCATGGGACATACAGATGTAACCATTAATATATGGGAGCCAGTGATTATTTGCAGGACTTGAAATCATCCAGGTGGAAGTCACTGCTTGCCTTTGACCATGGCCAGACACCTGAGGGTGTCTACAGCTGAGACTGGTGGGGGGCGTAGATGGTATAAATTCTGCACCAAATGATGCCCTCTCTTTTGCCCACCCAAGAGCCTACAGCCCTGAACGCAGATGCTGTCTGCACTGTGCTCCCAGGGCACTGCTAACCTTGCCGAGCCTCAGTCTGCTAATCAGAAAACGTGGATAAAGCTGAGAAGAGCCAAGGAGGGATTATATGGACCGAGGTGGCTCTGTAAGTGCCAGGCCAGTTTTACTCCCACTGCCACACTAAGGAAAAGCCCTGGAGCACCCCGAAGCCTGGAGACGTAGAAGGGAGAGCCGGGGTGTCGGGACAGGGCTCCCTGAAGGGCTCGGGACAGTCAGTCCCATATTCCCCCACCCCAGCAAAACCTGTCCTGTAGAACCACAGCCTCGTTATGAAATGACCAGAGAAAAGTCACATGAACCATGTTTGCAGAGAGAATCACCTCTAAAACATAAAAAGGATCATTCCCAACATCACCTTGCTACCTGCGGATCACAGGACATGAGCTGAAAAACATCAGGAATAGAGAGCTATGCAATACCGCTTTATTCCTTTCAGGGGCCAGCACTTAGCCTGGAAAATTATGCCAAACTTTGAAGAAACAACTAGGGTTTGTGCCCGAAAGTGCCAACAGCCTGGCTAACGGCTGTCAGTAACATGGGAGCAGCAAGCCACACCTTTCCCAGTGCTTGGGTTCCAGCTGGGGTCGCAGGCGCTGGCGCTCGCTGCTCAGGCTTGGAGAATAGCACAAAAGCTGTCCGCTCTCCTCTTCCCAAGTCTGCCCTCACCCTCCAAAGCCCCAGTGGCACCAGGCATCCCCTGGGGGGCTAAGTCTCACTTTCCCCTGCTTCAGCCTCTGCTGGCTCCCTGCAACTTTGGTTTCCATCCTCCGGCTTCTTTTTCTTCTTTGCCTTTCGCTCTTGGTTCAGCTGAGCAAGCTCTTCATTTTTCTCTGTGATGTATTTTAGCTGCAACAAATGACACTATTTAAATGAGGTCATAAACCATTTTTTTTTTTTTTTTTTTTTTGGTACCGGGGATTGAACTTGGGTCCTTCTGCTTGCAAGGCAGGCCACTGAACCGCTGAGCTAAATCCCCAGCCCCATAAACTATTTTATAAACCTAAAAATACCAACTACACCAACCCAGCCATCCCTCCTGCCATCTTGGTCCCTCCCACTAACTGGGATGGTCACGGCCCTTCTGGGTGCCAAGTGTCTGCATCTGGAAAATGGAGGACTGGTCAAAACGACCTCTGAACTTGAAACGACAGAAGAAGTGCTGCTCGTGCCACCCAGCTGAACCCCCTCCCACACCTGGGAGCCTGCTGGACCAGCCCAGACCAGCATGGGACATCGTGGGCAATGGAGCACAGGACGCGGGCGCTGAGACATTATAAAACAGCCATGTTATGAAGTAAAGAGTGCTGATTAGAAGTAAGGAAAGAAGAACTATAAATTACGGGCAGGTCTGAATGGCTCCCCGGGGGAGTCATTTCCTGGCCTCTGGTGATTAACTGGGCATAATGTATTCTGATGGGAAAGGGGAGCTTGCGGGGGATTCATCTCTCACCAGCGAATTGCTCCTCCTGGCCAAGAGCTTCACGTCTTCTGTGTTAATCGTGCTTCTTTTAGCATGTCTGTGAAAGGGCAGAAACAATTCACCAATATGTTTGCTATTAAAGTTTTGATGAAACTGAAAAGTTCATGGTCAGACTTCAAACTTGCAAGGATCACGAAGGAGACCAACTTCTGAGATTAAAGTCATTAAGCAGTGGCGAGAGAGAAGTGTGTGAAGTTCCACTCTTTAGGAATCCCATCTACTTGGCTGCGGGCCTCCCTGCCTCAGGACTCAGGAAGTCTGAGGAGTTAAAACCCTTCCAGAGTGACCAGTGTGGCCACAGGGAAGAGCCCAGAGAGAGCAGGAAGAGTCAGGTGGCACAAAGGTCACCTTTGCTTACACAGACATTAAACAGAAGAACAAAGAATTCCCATGATGTGTGCCATTACTTATAACAGGGCCCACTGGCTCTTCTGGAGGGCTAAGTCAAAGGCCAAGGCCACAGACACCTTCTAGCACCTGTTTCCCTGCAATCCTTGATATGCTACAACCTCCATGGTGGCATGGGTACAACAAAGAACAGCCTCTAGCCGGGTATGGTGGCACACACCTATAATCCCAGCACTAGAGAGGCTGAGGCAGGAGGATCGCTGTGAGTTCGAGACCAGCCTGGGCTACATAGTGAGTTCCAGGTCAGTCTCAACTACACAGTGAGACCCTGTCTCAAAAAACCAAAAAAAAAAAAAAAGAAACAGCCTCTAAACTGGAATCTGCTGGCCAGCATGGTGGTTCATGCCTGTAATCCTTAGCACTCAGGAGGCTGAAACAAGAAGGCTGCCTCGAGTTCAAGGCCAGCCTGGGGTACATAGCAAGTCTGAAGTCAATCTGAAATGCAGAGTGAGACTTTGTCTGAAAACAAACAAACACCCTAGAGTCTGCTTCTTGTTTGCTATTCAGACCCAAATCCTCATTCCAGGCCTCCTGCCCTTGCTATGAAAGATAATTTGAGATAATAAGCTCTATTCAATAATTTATTGCTCTAATTACATCTTTTCTTACCATTATTTAAAAAAAAAATTTTTTTGAGACAGGGTCTCACTTTATAGTCCAGGCTGTCTTTGAACTCACAGGGCCCCTCCTGCCTCAGCCTCCAAGTGCTGGGATTACAGCCATGCAAGGCCATACTGGCTCAGAGCCCCCTTTTTTTGTTTTTGGTACCAGGGATCAAACTCAGGACCTTGTGCTTGCGAGGCAGGTGGCAGCACCACTGAACTAAATCCCTGGTCCTCAGAGCCCTTTAAAATAAAAGATGATGTCCAGTCCCTGGAGCTTCCAGTCCGAGTCCCACACACCCCTCCCTCAAGTACCCAGCAAACAAGATGAGCCTTTCATGTGGGCATAAAGCACACAGTATCTGCTAAATATTTCTAATTTCTTTTCCTTTTCCAGGGCTGGGCTCAAACCCAGGGCTTCCAACATGCTAACATGAGTTTCTGCCCCTGAGCTACACCCCAGCCCCTATTTCATTTTTGGTTCTAGATGTTTACAGAAGTGCTGTAAATGTTGCACGTCTTCACGGCTAACGGGCTCACGGCGCCCTGTGCCCCGACCTCCTGCTCTTGACCACATGCGGTGGTTTTAGGCACCGATGGATAAAGGATGAGGGAAGATTTAGCGCCTGCCCTCCCATCACCCATGGCTTTCATTCGTTCACAATGTTCACAGGAGGAACAAAGAGCTAAGAGGAGCCAGGCGAGCTATGGGTGGGTGCGGGAGGGGCGGCACGGAGCAAAAGCAGAGAGCGCAGCCCTGTCGGCCTCTCTCCAGCTGCTGCATAAAAGCAATTTGCTGTGATTGTCTTCAATTATCTGAGGTACTAACTGACAAGCTGAGCATGAATCACCTGTGAAAGCTAAATCTGCACCAACTGAGCGCAAGTCACTGCTTTCCAAAGCCGCCGGCCATTGTCCCCACACCTGCGAGCAATCAGCCAGCCCGGCAATGCTCAGGGCCTCTCAGCCGCACTGGGTAGTGGGCGGGCTCTAGAACTACCAGGGACATCACGCACCACGAGCCAGCTCTGCACCGAGTGACAAGAGCGGCTGGCAGAGGCTGCTGGGATAGAGATGCCGGACACGATGAGCACCCAGGACCGAGGGCTCTACCCACCTGGCAAACATTTCAAGGTCTCTGGCAAAATTTTCTGCAAGAGAAAAAAGAGGCATGCTTCAGCCACACTTCCTTCAACCTTATTTCAGGAGCGAGGGCGAAATCCTGACTTACACAGTCAGCACGATGACAGACTCAATAAACTTCTCAACTGCAGTTGCTAGACTCAACCTGGGCCTCAGCCCTGAGCCCCTCTACGCCAGCCCTTTTTATATCTTTGAGACAGGGTCCTGGGCTAAGTCCCCAGGCTGGGCTTGAACTTGTGATCCTCCTGCCTCAGCCTCCCAGAGTGCTGGGATTATAGGCGTACTGCACCTGGCTAACCCTTCTGAGGTCGGCAGAGGCACTGCGGTGACCCCATCAGCTGGTGACAGCCTCTGCCCTGTGAGTCACCCTGACTCCCTCGCTCTTCCCCACCTCTTCCGCTCCTTACAGCGAGCCTTCCCTTCCGTTAACCGTGACTACACCCTTGTTTCCAGAAACTACCCTTTAACTTTAAATTCTGCTGCAGGTCAGGGCTTGTAAGGGCAAGAATTTCCTCCAAAACCAACCAAGCAGCAATGCCACAGATTACCCAGACAGATACACTGTGGCTGATTTAAAAACTTTACTGCATTTAAATTAAAAATGTAAGTGTAACGACCAGCCACCAAGGCAGTTTAATGCACCATAAAAAACAGATGTCAATGTCCCAGTGTTGGTGTAATAGAAAAAAGCCCTAATAGTTCTTCCCATAAATATCCAAATCTTGTTGGGCATGATGGTGCACACCTATAATGCCAGACCTGGGAAGGCTGAGGTAGGAGGATGGCTGCAAGCTCAAGGCCAGGCTGAGCCAAATAGTGAATTCAAGCCCAGCCTAAAGTGCACAGTAAGACCCTATCTCAAAAAAACCAAACCAAAACAAAAAATCCAAACCTTAGAGCCAAGAAAAGAAGTATTAGTCATGTGTGACAGTGCACGCTTATGATCCCAGCACTCTGGAGGCTGAGTCAGGAGGATTGCTTTGAGTTCAAGGCCAGCCTACACTACATAGTGAGACCTTGTCTCAAAAAAAACAAGAAAAAATAGGCCAGAGATTTAGCTCAGTGGTTCCACCACCTGTCTTGCAAGCACAAGGACCCAAGTTCGATCCCCAATACCAAATAAATAAATAAATAAATAAATAAAAAGTTAAAGCTTTGTTTAAAAAAAAATGATGTCCAGGGCAAGGGTTTTAGCTCAGTGGTTCCACCACCTGCCTCATAAGTACAAGGTCCTGAGTTCAATCCCTGGTTCAAAAAAAAAAAAGTGTTTTTATAATTTAAAAATAAAGTTTGGGGGCCGGGGATTTAGCTCAGTGGTTCCACCATCTGCCTCGCAAGCACAAGGACTTGAGTTTAATCCCCAGTACCAAAAAATAAAGTTTGGGGCCGGGGATTTGGCTCAGTGGTTCCGCTGCCTGCCTTGCAAGCACAAGGGCCCAAGTTTGATCCCTGGTACCAAAACAAAAAGTTTGATCTGCAAAAAAACAAAACAAAACAAAACAAAACGGAAGAAGTATTTCACAAAGCCGGTGACACAATGACAGCTCCCCATCCAGGCAAATGGGCCTCTGGGGTCTAGACACAGCGAGACCCGGCTCCATACCGCACTGCCGGAAGGTCATCTCCGAAATCGCAGCAATGGTTTGCTTGCTGAACTGCACCTCTTTGTCCTCCGCAACTTCCTGGCACAGACGGCCGACTGTGTAGTGGACCGCTGCCTTGAGCCTCTGGGGAGATAGAATACTTTGGGGTGAGATGGCAAATGAGTGCCGTCCGTGGCCTGAACACGTTGAGCCTGCATCCCACAGCCTGCCCTGGTGGCTGGAGACCCCTCGGGTACACTGGCAGAGTCATGTGGAACTCTGGAGGGTGACTTGTGGAAACGCCACCTCCCAGCCCCTGCCCGTGACCGGCCATGAAGAGGAGGGCTCAGAGCATAGCCAGTGGGGGAAGTCACTCTGGCACTCCAGCAGGGCCTACCATTCCTCCCTCATCCGCTAGCCCCTTGTTTCCTGTCCTCAGGGACACAGCGACACACCAGATGGGCTCAATACCAAAAGCCCAGCCTGGTGGCCCATGCCTGCAATCCCAGAACTGAGGAGGCAGAAGCAGGATGGAGAGTTCCAGGCCAGCAACTGTGAGTCCCAATCACAAAACAAAGAAGGATCCCATCCCTCTGCAGTCCCGGGTCACAAAGCAGGAAAGCCTGGGACACCAGGAAGGGCTCCTCCCCTGGTTTGGGCATTTGTGAGTCCTCCTCAGCGGCCCTCCCGGTTCCTCACAAACCACACTTTTTTTTTTCTTTTTCTTTATATGCAGTGCTGGGGATCAAATCCAGAGCTTATCAAATAACAGGCAAGAGCCCTACCAAGGAGCTACGTCCCCACCCCTGAGCAATCCTTTATTTTTGTGGGACAGAGCCCAGGGTCTCTGCACCAAGGTACATCCTCAGCCCTGGTATATTATTATTATTATTATTAGTAGTAGTAGTAGTAGTAGTAGTATTAGTAGTATTTGGGGGTTTGTTTTTTTGAGACAGGGTCTCACTATGCAGCTGAGACTGAACTGGAACTCACTATGTAGCCCAGGCTGATCTCGAACTCACAGTGATCCTCCTGCCTCAGCCTCCTGTGTGCTGGGATTACAGGCTCCTAAGTGCTTTCTTCCTGCTGCAGACATTGCTATACCTAGAGGCTAAATCATGGGAGTCTCTAAATTCCTCAAGGGCAGGACCCTTTCAGTTTAGTTCACAGCTGTCTGTCTAGAGCCAAGAATGGCTAGTGTAGCACAAGAGAGGCCATGGGGAATGATCCCAGCACTACCAAAAAAAAAAAAACAAAAAAAAACTTTAGACAAATAGGGACATTTGAAGATGGACAGTAATTCAATAATTGGATTTTATACTACACTTCCCAAGTGTGATAATATATTAAGATGATGTAAAAAAAATGACCCTTTTAATGGGAAATTAAAATTTAAAAGTGAAATGTCAAGCTATCCCCAATTCTCAATTAACGCAGAACAAAAAGAGGAAGGGGTTTACATCACACCACACTGGACTGTGCAGATCCCTCTCCCTCTCTGAGCTCTAGCAAGCTCAGTTTAGGTCTACTGGGAAGGGAGGGGAGAGAGTGGAGGTGCAGTTGGAGCGAAATGCTAACAAGAGGCAGATGGAGGTGGCGCATCACGTCTTAGTCAATCCTGTTCGAGGCTGTCCCCAGGGTCTGGCCACTTAGCTCTTCACGGGGCAATGGGGATGATTGCATGATTCTTCCACCCGTGATCCCAATGCAGATGAAACAAACGACCCCTCAGTTCGCTCTCACAGGGGCAGCGCCTCATTGCTCCTCTCCACCAGCTACGATGAGCGAGCGCCTCAGCCCCAGGAAAAGGAGAAGGAATGGCAGTGAAGAAGACCACCCACCCTACTCCAAAGGGAGCAGCAGAAACCCTACTACTTCTGGGCCATGGCGTCTTCGAGCAGTGACTGTGGGGAAGCAGCAGCAGCAGCACCAGCATCCTTGGCCCAGACTGGGCCGGTGTCAAGCCCGGATCCAGCCCCATTAAGCCCTCAGCTCATGCCCGAGCAGACTGCACTGTGCAAGGGACAGCACTGTGCAGATCTGAGATTTGTCTTGAAAGACTGTCCACAGAAAAAACCGCCTGTTGCCTTTTCGGTCTATTTGAAATAACAAGTTAAAGGCAATTGTTTATTTGTGGTTCTGCTGCTGAACTACTGCAATTTCAAAGGGGCTTTGAAGCAATTTTTAAAGGATTCTTTTGAGGGAGGATATCGGATCCATGTCGAGGCAGTGGTGTGAGGGAATTTCATCTGTGTTGTACATCCACAGTGTGTCCAATCCAGACTGATTTCTCAATCTGTCAACTTCAAGTTCTACTTTATGAGAAAGGCTCTTTATTTATTTATTTTTATTTTTGGGTACTAGGGATAGAACTTGGGTCCTAGCATGGAAGGGTCTTTTAAAAGTGCAGTGCAGGATGTTTTTTTTTTTTTTGGTACCAGGGATCGAACTCAGGATCTTGCGCTTGTGATGCAGGCGATGGGACCACTGAGCTAAATCCCCAGGCCAAACGTGCAGGAACTTAAAACTAGTGAACTAGTAAACTAGTGAAGGGTAATAAAAATAAATAAATAAAGGAACAAATGAATACTCGACACTATGCTTACAGTTGGTTGTTCTGAGTTTGCAAAGGAGAAAAGACTGGCATGTGGGCCAGTCACTACAATCACAAGATAGAGGAACCCAGATTTCAGCAGACGTCTCCCTCCCCTTCCCCTATGGAAAGGGCAGTTATAGGGTCCGAGGGCCAGCATTTCAGAATCACTGCCTCTCACAGGGCAGCACGCTAAGTGCGCCACTCGAATTCCTTTCTTTTCTTTTGATGGTGTTTGCAGTACACAATAATTACAATAACTTGGGCAAACTGGGACATAGATACCGTATCTTGATAGTTTTCGATACCCCTTCCATCTCCTCCTCTTCCCCTCCCCTCCCTTTCACCCCCTTCCTCATCTCCAAAGTCTCCCTGTTCCCTACCATCTCTCCTATATTTCTCTACATTCTGAGTTTCAGATTTTGTCTTTAGCGTCCATATTCAACCCACCCTACTCCTCCTGTGAGAAGGGTGAACGAAGCCTCCTCCCCAAACTAGAAGACATTCTACCGCTACCCATTCGCAGCCGCGTCGCCCGGGAAACCGGCTCCCAGAACCACCCCCGGCACTCGGGCTGGCGCAAGCGCACATGCTCAGGGCGGCCAGCAGCTGGACTGAACGCGGAGACCAGCTGAGACCCTCGTGTCGCGGGGTGGGGTCGCTTCCACTTCCAGAAACTGGACGCCGTCCTTCCTTAGCCCGTACCCTGTTCACCCGGTACCTGCTGGTAAGAGAATCGCTCCTGTTCCTCGGGCTCCAGTTCCTCCTCCATCACGGCCGGCCTTCACTGCCAGGCGGACGAAGGCAGAAAGGCCACGACTGCCGGACGCCTCAGTCAGACTTTCCCGCCGCGGCTCCGAGCGACGGGCCGCACTGAGAGTCAAACCGCGAAGCTCCTCCTCTCCGTCCCGCGCGCGCCCTCTGGTGGCTACGCTGGGGCGGGGTCGGGTGGCTTCTGGACCCCTCCTCCAGCCAAGTGGCAGGGCTGGGTGACCGTGGGGTCGCTGCTGCGCCATAGACCCTGGCTTACCAACCAGCTCTCCGCAGAAATACGCGTGTACAGGTACAGAAGTGTCACAGTAAATCGTAATGACAAGAAGAATGAATCCAGAGTGGTGCTATTTCAGACATCGAGGCAAGAGGATCGCCACGATTTTGAGGCCAGCCTGCACGACATAGCAAGACCCTATCTTAAAAACCCAAAATAAATAGTAAAAAAGGTTGGTGATGTAGCTCAGTGGTAGAGTCCTTGTCTAGTATGCAAGAGGCCTGGATTCAGTCCCTAGTACTATAAAAAGTGAATGTAAAAATTTCACAAATTATGAAATGCAGTGCACGATGAGAAATACTCATGTAGCTGTGGTGTGCCTCGCAAAACCCACCGTGAGTTTTTGTCACCAGTGGTGTCACAGAATCACTGCCAAGCATTGCACGACTGCTAACCATTCATTCTGCAACTCGCCTCACGGCGAGTGATAAGGGAGTAATTCTGACACACTGTTGAGAACCTAGGAGTATATCTTAGTGGTCGCCTGCTTGCCCAGCATGCTGGAGGTCCTGGGTTCACACACCAGCACTGCAGACAAAACTAAAATACAAACCTGAGTGTGGAGGTGCCTACCCATAATTCCACACTGGGAGGCAGAGGCAGGAAGACTGCCAAGTCTGAGCCCTGCTCCTGCAATTTAGCAATTGAGAACCTGTCTCAAGATTTAAAAAATAATAATAATAATAACTTTTTTAAAGGCTGCGGATGTAAGAGGAGGCTCAAATGTGAATAATTTGCCCATTTCTGTGGTGTCATTACTTCCTGTGGATTTCAAGATGCCAGTGTGCAGTCACTAAACTCAGGACTGGGAAGTGGCCCTGAATGTCGCATCCATCCCTCCTGAAATGGGACTTGTAGCAACCTACCTGGGAAGCTATGAGTTTGGAGTATGTATTACTTCATAAAAAATCATTTAAGGGGGCGGGGGATTTAGCTCAGTGGTGCCGCCGCCTGCCTCACAAGCTCAAGGTCCCAAATTCGATCCCAGGTACCACCCCAAATCATTTAAGCCTGTTATATGATTTAATTTTAGTAATGGTTATATTTGTCTGTGGTTTTCAATATTCCCGAAAATTCAGATTGGGTTCCACCAACGTGTGGGGCTGCCCTCATCTGCCAGTGGCCTGGCACAGGGTAATAAACCCTGGCGAGCAAGCAAATACATCAAAGTGGAGAGCACATCGCACCACGGCTGGTGGTTGGGTGAAGACGTGGGCGTCCACCTCACCTAACAGTGAGTCCCAGGGACCGCTGGGCACGAGGTCGCGTGTGTGGGCTTTGCTATAGGTCCAAATCCCAGCAGCACCTCAGGAAAGAGGGAACATGGAGGCCCAGCATTAGGAAAGCTGGGTCTCCAGTACTTCTGTTTGTTGTTGTTTGTTGGGGGACCCGCAAGCCGGAGTGTGTGGGTCTCAGCACGGTGACGCCTGGCGGAGGCATGGAAACAGTAATGTGCTTGCTCGTGCTAAGCATGGCTTCAGGGTGCTGAGCCTTGCGCTAGTAATGGATTCCAGAGAAAGCTCCAGGGCTGAGCCAAGTGTGGTGGCACACACCCGTGACTCTGGCACTCCAGGAGGCTGAGGCAGGAGGACTCAGGTTTGAGCCTGGCCTGGGCAGCTTAGTGACTTTAGCAAGACCCTGTCTCAAACAGGGATGGAGCTCAGTGCCCCCGCCTGCCTGGCAAGCGCAAAAGGTCCTGAGTTTGATCCCGTACCAAAAAAAAAAAAAGATCTTGTCTCAAAATAAGAAATATAAAGGGCTGAGGATGTAGCTCAGTGCAAAGGTCCTGGGTTCAATGCCCAGTACTGAAAGCAGGGAGGGGAGGGGAGGAAGGGCAGGGGAGAAAAAAAGATCCTGAGCTGAGTCAGAGCCCGCATATTCCATACTTGGTGAAAACTGTCCAGGCTGCCACTAGATGTCACCCTTGTTCCGCACACAGTCAAGGTCCTGCCCACCTGCTTGCAATATCGTAGTTAACAGAGTGTGCCCTTTGCCTCTGTTGCCTTGGTTCTAGATGCTTCTTTTCCTTTGGTTCTGAGATGGCCTCGCTCTCCAGAGGGGACTTCGAGGTCCCCAATGGCAGGGATGCACCTGCCCTGTCAGTGCTCAGGAGGCTGGTGTCAAGCAGCTGGCATTGTGTCCATCCTTGGCCAGCCCACACCCTCCCCAAGGGACGCGAGCACATTCATCCCAGTTTTGAGAGCAGGATGCCATTTATTCTGCCTTGAATCCCACTGTAAACGCAGAGCAAAGACACCTCCCTCACTGCCAAGTGCAGGCAGACTGGGCCTCGGCGCCCGTGCGTGACATATGGCCAGGGTGCAGTCGCTGCGCTGGACAGGAGGACCTGATCCAGCCATACACAGGCCAGGCTGTACCGTGCCAGCGCCTGGACGCTGCCCCAGGTCACCACATTCACAGTCCAGCTTTCTTCAGGAGCTGCTGGGTCAGTTCTTCCAATCTCAGGGCCTCCTGCAAGGAGTGGTGAGGTCACTGTGAACTCTGGGAGGCTGAGGCAGAGGATCGCAGGTTAGAGTCCCACCTGTGCAACTAGTGACTTAGCAAGACTCTGTTGCAAAATTTTAAAAAGGGCTAGAGGGCCAGGGATTTAGATCAGTGGCACTGCACCTGCCTTGCAAGCTCAAGATCCTGAGTTTGATCCCCAGTACTGACAAAAAAACAAAAAAAAAAAAAAAAAAAAAAAAAAAAAAAAAGCAGGGGACTGAGGATGTAGCTCGCTGTGAGCCCTGGGTTCAATCAATAACCAGTGCTTCTGGCATGGGCAGCACAGTGGGGGCTGGGAGGCCAGGCCCTTCCACCCACTGAGTTGGGCAACACCCTGGGGCTCAACCTCCTTCCCCTGCTCCCTGCACTGTAACTAATCAGAACTCTGAACATTGTGCTGGTAGAAAGCCCGACTCAGGGCCCAGCACCTGCACCTCCTAGAAATCCCAAAGCCTGATTTTAAAATTATTTTTATTTTTATTTTTTGAGACAGGGTCTTGCTATGTAGTTCAGGCTGGTCTTGAACTCACTGTATAGCTCAGATGGTCTCGAACTCACAGCAGTCCTCCTGCCTCAGCCTCCCAAGTGCTGGGATTACAGGTGTGCACCACCACACCCGGCCCACAGCCTGATTTATCAGTGAACTTTGCTTTTCCTGACATCCGGCACCACTTTTGTTTGTGCTGCATTTTTGTTTCTGCTGGCACAGACCTGCCCTGAGCTCCTTTTCTGTGACCTTCAATAATGAAACTGCCTTTTTTCTTTTCTTTTTCTTTGGTACCGGGGATGAAGTTCAGGACCTTGCTCTGGCGAGGCAGGCGGGGCGCCCCTGAGCTACATCCCCAGCGCTGCAGCTGCTCTTTTTACTCCATTGGATCTGCAGTTCTTTGCTCACTGCACGAGAGCCTGAAACCTGCTGGACCCATCTTCAGTATCACTTCAATACTGCAACCGCTACTAACGGGGACCCGGGTCCACACAGACAAGGACGCTTGGCATCTGCAGCGCGTTGTCAGCGGGCAGCGCAAGGTTCCATCTCGCTGCTCAGAATGGCGTGCAGCTTAAAACTTAAAGTTTCAGTGGGGTGTAGGTAACGGGGTTCAGGGCTCCAACCCCAGCACTGCAAAAGGTGACAATGGCAGTAGGTAGTAGTGTTAGGACTTGAACTCAGGTCAGTGTTAGCTCCAGAACTGTGCTCTGTGGCCCACTCTGTACAGCAGAGGCCCATCGCTGAGGTGCACTGCCCAGCCTGGCTCAGCTGAGAGCTTGCTGGAAACGCAGAATGTGGGCCGCCCCAGGCCTGCAGGGTAAGAATCTTCAGGTTGCGGAGAGCACATACTGAAGTGGCACTTGGTTTTGTTTGTTGGTACCTGGGATTGACCTCAGGACCTTGTGCTTGCAAGGCAGACGAAATGCCACTGAGCTAAATCCCTGATCCCTCTGTTTTTTGAGGCAAGGTCTCGCTATGTAGCCTAGCTTGGCCTTCACCTCTTGGCAATCCTGCCTCAGCCGCCTGAGTCCTGGGATCACAGGTGTGCACCATCGCACCCAGCCAGGTCACCTTTGAGAAGTGCTTCTCCCAGCCCCTAAAGAGGAAGCCATGGTCACAGCAGCCACTGCAGATCACGGGAAGGGGCAGGAGGGCCTGGTAGAATCCTCACACTCAGGCAAGAGATGTTTTTGTTGCGATACAGGGGACTGAACCCAGAGGCTTCACATTATGTCCCCAGTCCTTTTTATTTTGGGGAGGCAGAGTCTCCTAAAGTTTGCCAGGCCGGGCTTCAACTTGTGACCCTTCTGCCTCAGCCTCCCAGGTTGTTGGGATCACAGGCGTTCGGCACCATGCCTGGCTAAGGCAAGGGCGTTAAAGTTTGTTTTAACGTGAAGGGTCATCTCTCCCATCCCTGCTCTGAGACAGAGGCCAGAGGACAAATCAGATTTCAGCTGTTCAACAGCCACTTTCTCCTTGCTGTCCCAGCCTGAGGACCCCACAGAGACTCAGAGATACCATCAGGTTGAAGCTGCTCAGTCCCCACCCTCCTGGGCACAGAGCCAGGGAAGGACACAAAACTGGCCTAGGCAAGCCCAGCATTTCACTGTAATTCTCTAAATTTATTGTGACAGGGCCGAGGATGTAGCTCAGTGGTGTTGCACCTGCCTGGCAAGCACAAGGTCCTGATTTAGATTCCTAGGACCAAAAAAAAAATGTATTGTGACAAAGGTGACACACAAGACATAAAAAGAATGTTACAGAGACCACTGAATACCCACCTCCAACGTAAGAAGTGAAACATGACTGCCCTGCACACACAGCCCTCCTGCTCACACCTCCCTCCAGACAAGCCACACCCCAACTAGCTATTTCCTGTGTTTATGTCTCTCTGACGGTTCTGGGGAACTGAACCCAGGGCCCTCCATCACCAAGCTACATCTCCACCCCTAATTTTTTCTTTTTTTGAGACAAGGTCTCCCTATGTAGTCCAGGCTGGCCTCAAACTCACTAAGAGCCCAGGCTGGCCTCCAACTCACAGCAATCCTCCTGCCTCAGCCTCCAAAGGTTGCTGGGATTACAGGCACATCCCACCATGCCCAGGTCTCTTTATTTTTGAGACTGGCAACAACACAATTGAGACAGGGTCTTGCCAATTTGCTCAGGCTGTCTCTGAACTTGAAATCCTCTTGCCTCGGCCTCCTAAATAGCTGCAATTAACAGTGTGCACCACCATTCCTGGCTTTTTTTGGATACAGGGAATCAAACTCAAGAGCCTCAAGCTTACCAGGCAGATGCTGCACTGCTGAGCTACATCCCTGGCCTCCCTGACATTTTTTTGTTTGTTAACAAAGGAAAATTTAGGTTGGAAGAACAACGCATTCCGATTTATTAAAACCATTTTAAATCTTTCTGCCCACTGAGTAATTGCAGAGTGGCCCAGGTGAGACTAAGGTGCAGGAAACGCTTAAGTGTAACGAAGCTTTACTGAGCAGAAGGGGTATGGGCTGCGGAGATGCCCCACACCCCTCCTGCCACCCTGCCCTCCCACCCAGGGCATCGGTTGATCCGAGGCCGGGGCCCATGACTGTGACACTGTGTTATGGAAGGAATTGGCAAGTGACACAGAGAGGCGGCCGAATGGAAGTAAAATAAGAAAGTTTACTCCGTCGATGGGGGTTGATCACACCTAATGGCAGTGCCCTGATCAACCCCATACTGGGCTACAACTCCTTTTATAGGGTTTTACAGCTTTGATCTCGTCCGGTGGCTAAACTGCATTTTCACAGTTCACATTACTGATGTTCAGAACAAGGTGGCGGTGGTTGAATTCCAACCCGGATGTGGCCCTTCTTTGGTAATGGAGGTTACCTTTATGGTCCAAGGGAAAGGGGTGTGTTTGGTCAGCAAAGGTAACAACTGTTCTTTTCATTTACAAAACTTTCCAGGGAGTCTAGATGCCTCCTAAACAAAGCAAAGGCAGAAGTTATCTTACACTGTGACATTTCCTAGGGTTTTGCTATTAAGGTGTTCTCTATGAACCTCACTGCGGGGAGAGGGGCGGAATGAGGAGTGCGGTCCGAGGCGTCCCAGCGCGGAGCAGGGTTCAGGCATTGTAGGAGGAGGAAGACACGCTCCCGCCGTGGCCCGTCCAGTTGGTGTGGACGAACTGTCCCGGCTTGGCCAAGAGTTCGTAGGTGTGGGCCCCGAAGTAATCCCGCTGCGCCTGGAGGGAGGGCGGAGGGGTGAGCGGAGACCAGATGGGTGAGGGGTGCAGGCTGGGCACCGCCGCGCCCTCACCTGGAGGAGGTTGGCCGGCAGCGTCTCGTGTCGGTAGCCATCGTAGAAAGACAGGGCGGTGGTAAAGCAGGGCATGGGGATGCCGGCCTGGACCCCGGCGCTCACCGTGCGCCGCCAGGAGTCCTGCGGAGACAGAGGCGGTGAGCGGTCTGGGCAGCAGGACCTGCGCCCCGCTGGCCCTGCACCCGCGCCCCGCGCACCTGGCAGCTCTCAACAGCCGAGCAAAAGAAGTCGTCCAGCAGCAGGTTCTGCAGCGCAGGGTTGCGGTCGAAGGCATCTTTTATCTTCCCCAGGAAGACGCTGCGATGGAGAGGGGCGATCACAGGCCTTCGCCCCCGCAGCCCCGCACGTGCCAGAGCAGGGGGCGGCGGGGTCCACTCTGGAGAGGCGGA